GGGAGGGAGGGAGGGAGGGAGGGAGGGAGGGGACTCATTTCTAAGTGGGATGTCTCCATCAATTCTCTCCCCTCATTGCTCAGGGAACTCTGAAGGAGGCAGAGTGTAAGAGCCACAGGGGATGGAGGACACCAGGAGAACAAGGCCCTCTAAATCAACTGAATAAAGCTCCTATGTTTGTTCTGTGAGTCAGGAATTTTCCCGGTCTGTTGCTGAGTTCGGCAGACACACTGTGTAGTCCTCTTCCTCCATTGTTCTCCCTGGATAATCTGCTAAAGCTGTCTTTATGTCCTGCAGAAAATTCTCGCCTGTGCTCACAGTCGTTCCATTTCTATGAGGCACAGACTGTCATTAGCACAGTTGAGGTGTTTCCTTCTGTGATATGTTCAGTGACATACATAAGCCTGTTCCCTCCTGCTGAGGAAGGATTTGTCCTTCCATTTTTATCTTTCTATTGCCCTGTTTGGTGCCTCTCAGGTTCACTGCCTCTACTGTGTTAACTACTGTAAGGGAGAGAGGTTCTCCTGCCAGAATTGTATACGGAGAACTTTTGTCCTAACTTAATCTAAAAGATCACTTCCTTTACTGAGTAGAAACATGGACCTCTGCTTTCTACCTCCCCTGTATTTGCTTTTTGTCTGGGTCAGTTTATGCTCAGCTTCATTTTTACTTCCTTTTTGTTTCCTTTTATTGAAAATAGATTTTTTTTCTCACATAATATATCCTGATTACTATTTTCCCTCCATCTGCTCTTCCCATTTTCTCCCCACCTACCATCCCACCAACATTCACCCCCTTTCTGTCTCTCGTTAGAACACAAACAGGCTAATAAGGGATGATAAATAATATAATAAGACAAAACAAAAACTAAGACATTTGAATTGGACAAAACAAACAGAAGAAAAAGAGCCTAAGGGAAAGCACAAGAAGCAGAGATCCAAAACACTAAACTGGAAACCATAAAATATACACAGAGGACCTGATACAGAGCCATGAAGAACCCTGTGCATGCTGCTGCAGTCTGTTAGTTCATATGTGCTTTGATCATGTTAAGTTAGAGGACATTGGTCTTTTGGTGACCTCCAATCCCTCTGGCTCTTATACTTTCTGCCTTCTCTCTTACAATTTTTCCTGAGTCCTGGGGGGAAGGTTTTGATGGACACATCAGTTTTAGGGCCAAGTATTCCAAGGTTTCTCGCTCTCTGTATAATGTCTGGCTGTGGGTCTCTGCATTTGTTCCCATCTGCTCTAGGAGAAATTTTTCTCATGATGCCTGAGTAAAGCAATGATCTATGTCTAATGTCATTAGGAATCACTTTATTGCTATGTATTCTGTCTTAGTTTGTTTTGTTTGTTAAAATAGCAATATTTGGGTTTACTCTAAGTCTCTTGGCTTTGTAGTTCTTGGTCACCCAAACAGTGTCAGGTACGGGTCCCATCTCATGGAACGGGCCTTAGGTCAAATCAGACATCAGTTGGTTATTCCCATAGGTTTGTGTCATCATTGCCTCAGCACAGCAGTTCTCAGCCTGTGGATCTTGACCCCTTTGGGGGCTGCATATCTGCATATCAGATAGCTTGCATAGCAGACATTTACATTACTATCTGTAACAGTAACCAAATTACAGTTATGAAGTAGCAATGTTATAATTTTATGGTCAGGGGTCACCATAGCATGAGGAACTATATTAAAGGGTCACAGCATTGGGAAGTTTGAGAACCTCTACACTGGTATATCTTGTAGACATACTAGTGCCAAAGATGCTAGAATGTAGGGTGAAGGCTCTATGTAGACACCAGCTCAAACTCTCCATGTTCAGTGAGTTGTGTAGGAATTGTTTCAGCAATGGGGCCTTGCTGCCAGTTTGTGGAGAAGAACCTATTGTCTTGGCAACAACCTGGGTTATTTGGGAGCTCCCAAGGGACCTCTTTGGCCAACAACTCAATTAGATGTAACCCAATCACAATATTGGAAGTTTCATTTGGAACTCTGTCTCCCTCATTATTTGACAATTTCAATTAGATTGCCTTCATAGATGAATATATTTTAGGAACATTTTACTGTATTAGGTTTCCATTTTTGGAAATGTTCAATTCCTGGCTATTATGAATAGAGCAGCAATGAACATGGTTGTGCAAGTCTCTCTGTGGAAGGATGAAGTGTCCTTTGGGTACATACCCAAGAATGGTATAGATGCATCTTGAGGTAGATTGATTCCTACCTACCTGAGGAACTGCGACATCCATTTCCACAATGTACACAGCATGAGGCCTGGGGTGATTGATAAATTTATATTTGAAAACCCTGGGTTTTGGTCTCTAGGTCAGGAATTAGTCAAGACTTTATAAAATCCTTGACCCTAGTCCTAAGCAAACAGAGAATGAACCCATGAAACAGAGATCTCACAGGTATTGTACATATATGGATAAAATTGTGCAAGTTAATATATTTGAAATATAGGACATAGTCCAGCACTCAAAAGCAATTTGAATGTGTTTTATTAACCAAGCCCCCAAAATACTCCTATTTTATGAATGAGGCAAAACATTTATAAGAAAATGGCAGTCATTTGAAGTGAACAGTCTCAGTTATCAGAACAACATAGCTGAGCAAAGGCTCAAGTTGTCACTCTCTCAGATGATGTCCTATTGGAGCAGATGGCACTAGCAAACCAGAGGCCTTCAAAGTCCTAAACGTGTTAATTCCAAGGCTCTGCAGAGGCTCCCCTCAATCAGCACTGGCCTCCGCAAAATCTCAAAGTACAAAGAGACACTGACATTGACCTGATTGTCCCTCTGACTTTAAATGCAGCATTAATTACCCCTGAATGCCTGTCCTTAAAATCCCTTCTCCAGAATCCCCACCCAACTCTGCCCCAGTTGCTGGCCAGCAGGTAAAACTCCCGCAGCCAGGCTCCCCCACATCAAAACACCCCACTGGACCCTGCAATCTACAAGACCCACACCCTACCCCAATACCCATCTGCCTGTGACCCCAGTAACTTCCTGAGACAAGGAATCTACCAGCTCTCATTGTACCAAGAGTGGCTTCCTGAGACACAGAATCCACTAGCTCTGACTAGATCAAGAGTCCTGATGAGACCAAGAGCGGCTCCCTGAGTCATAGAATCAGCTAGCTTGAATTGGACCAAGATACAGAATCTGCCAGCTCCATTAAACCAAGAGCTAAAATTGAACCCAGAGAGGCCCCCTGAGACATAGACACAACAGGCACAGAGTGGACCAATAGCAGCTCACACTGACACAGGCACCTCTTGCACCTATTAGAGGAAGAGATGGGTAGATGCCAGTGCAAAAACACATACAGCATAAAGAGTAATACAGAATCACCAGAACTTGGCCTTCCTACAACAGCAAGACTTGAAACATCACAATGTAGAAGAAGCAGAAGAAAGTGACCTTAAAAATAGCTTCATGAAGATGAAAGCCTTTAAAGAAAAAAATGCAAAATTCTCTTAAGGAAACTAAGGAAAAGACAAGCAAAAAATTGGAAGAAATCAATAAATCCCTTAAAGAAAGCCAAGAAAACCACGAAAAAGCAATTAAACATGTGAAGGGAACAGTTCAAGATCTGAAAATTGAAATAGAAACAATAAAATAAAAACAAACAGAGAAAATGATGGAAATAGAAAATCTGAGTAAACAAACAGGAAACATAGATGCAAGCATAACCAACAGAATACAAGAGACAGAATCTCTAGTGTAGAGGATACAGTAGAGGAAATAGATTCGTCAGTCAAAGAAAACACCAACGCCAAAAAAGTCATGACACAAAATGTACAGGAAATCTGGAGCACCATGAAAAGACCAAACCTAAGAATAATAGGGATAGAGGAAGGAGAAGAATACCAACTCAAGGACACAGAAAATATATTCAACAATATCATGGAAGAAAACTTTCTCAAGTTAAAGAAGGAAATACCTATGAAGATACAAGAAGCTTATAGAACACCAAATAGACTAGACCCCCCCAAAAGTTCCCTCCCCACATAATAATTAAACAACTAAACAAACAGAATAATGAAAGAATATTAAGAGCAGCAAAGGAAAAAGACCAAGTGACTTATAAAGGCAGACCCATCAGAATAACACCTGACTTCTCAGTGGAGACTTTGAAAGCCAGAAGGTCCTGGACAGAAGTAATACAGACACTAAGAGACCAAGGATGCCAGCCTAGACTAATATACCCAGCAAAACTTTCAATCACCATAGACGGAGTGAACAAGACATTCCAAGACAAAACCAGATTTAAACAATACCTATCCACAAATCCAGCCCTACAGAAAGCAATAGAAGGAAAAATCCAACCTAAGGAAGTCAGATACACCCACAAAAACACAGGCAATAGATAACCCCACAGCAGTAAATCCCAAAGAAGAGAAATACACACACACTACCACCAAAAGATAATAGGAATTAACAATCACTGGTCATTAATATCCCTTAATATCAATGGATTTAATTCACCTATAAAAAGACACAGGCTAACAGAATGGATATGAAAACAGGACCCATCTTCCTGCTGCATACAAGAAACATACCTCAAATTCAAAGATAGACACTACCTAAGAATAAAAGGCTGGGAAAAGACTTTCCAATCAAATGGTCTTAAGAAGCAAGTGGGTGTAGTCATCCTAATATCCAGCAAAATAGACTTCAAACTAAAATCAATCAAAAGAGATCAAGAAGGGCATTACATCCTCATCATAGGAAAGATCCACCAAGAAGTTTCAATTCTGAACATTTATGCCCCAAACACAAGGGCACCCACATATGTAAAAGAAACATTACTAAAGCTTAAATCACATATAAAACCCCACACATTAATAGTGGGAGACTTCAACATCCCACTTTCACCGTTGGACAGATTTGCCAAATTGAAACTTAACAGAGAAATAAAGGACTTAACTGATGTTATGACTCAAATGGACTTAATCAATATCTACAGAACATTCCATCCTAACAAAAAAGAATATAAATTCTTCTCAGCACCCCATGGAACCTTCTCTAAAATTGACCACTTACTTGGCCACAAAGCAAATCTCAACAGATAAAAAACAATTGGAATAACCTCCTGCATTCTATCAGACCACCATGGTTTAAAGTTAGATTTCAACAACAAAAACTAAAGAAAGCCTACAATCTCATGGAAACTGAATAATGCTCAACTGAATCACCAATGGGTCAAGGAACAAATAAAGAAAGAAATTAAAGACTTCCTAGAGATCAATGAAAATGAATATACTACATACCCAAACTTATGGGACACTATGAAAGCAGTGCTAAGAGGAAAGTTCATAGCACTAAATGCCCACATAAAGAAGTTGGAGAAATCTCATACTAGTGACTTAACAGCACAACTGAAAGCTCTAGAACAAAAAGAAGCAAACTCACCCAAGAGAAACAGATGCCAGAAAATAATCAACAACAAGACTGATAAGCCCTTATCCAGACTAACCAAAAGGCAGAGGGAGAGCATTCAAATTAGCAAAATCAGAAATGAAAAGGGAGACATAACAACTGACAATGAGGAAATCCAGAGAATCTTCAGGTCATACTTCAAAAACCTGTACTCCACAAAATTGGAAAATCTAAAAGAAATGGACAATTTTCTGGATGGGTACCACATATCAAAGTTAAATCAAGACCAGATAAACAATTTAAATAGACCAACAACCCCTAAGGAAATAGAAACAGTCATTAAAAGTCTCCCAACCAAAAAAAGCTCAGGACCAAATGGTTTCAATGCAGAATTCTACCAGATTTTCAAAGAAGAGTTAACACCAATACTCTTTAAATTGTTCCACACAATAGAAACAGAAGGAACACTACCAAACTCCTTTTATGAGGCTACAGTTACTTTGATTCCCAAGCCACACAAAGATGCAACAAAGAAAGAGAATTACAGACCAATCTCCCTCATGAACACTGTACAGTTTAGTGAATGGATGGATGTAAAGACATAAGGAAAGAAGGGAGGAAGGATGGATGGATGGATGGATGGTTGGAATGATAGATCAACCTTTAAGTGATAGCAGAAAAGGGGCCAGCTGAGTGTTCCTTCACACACCACCCACAGCACTGCCCTAGTTTAGAAGTAGACCAAAGACTTCAGAACTTCAGATGTAAGAGGCCCATGTCTCTCTCATCCACACAAACCTCCACAGCCAAAAGGAACTAGAAGATCCTTTAACCAGCCTCCTGTGGCGCACCTGTAATATGGGGATATTTGAGCATGAGCAGGAAGCCATAGCGGAGTGTGGTGCTGCTGGTCTCAGTGCCAGCAAAGAAGAGGGACAGTACGGAGAACATGAGGTTCTGGTGATGGAACTCTGTGTGTTGGTTGGACTTCTCCTGGTTCCAAATGGGAGAGAGAAGGGAGGGTCAGGGATGACTGGGTCCTTACAGGAAGATGCTCATCATCCTGGGAACTGTCCTTCTGTCTCACACTGTATGGACCACATTGGCAGGCTCATTCCTCAATAATGTCACTGGCTCTCTGTTTGCTTTGTCTTCTCTCTCAACTTTGCTCCCTGGTATTTATCATGTTTTGTCTCCCAGGCTCTTTGTTCTGCTGAGGTCTTTTCTGCAAAAGTCCCTTGCCCTGTGTTTCTTTCATAGCCGTCTTCCTCCCTATTTCATTTTCTCCTCCCTTTCTCTAGTCTTCAATGTCTAGATTCTTCTGCATCTCTTCTCCTCCATTTCCTATCTCTCCTCCATCCTCTGCCCCCCTTTCCTCTGCTCACATCCTCAGCCTTCACTCTCACCCATCACTTCTCTCATTCACGCAGGACTTCCCTTCTCCATGCGTAGAAGGTAGATATCAATGAAGTCTCTTGGATTGCTGGGGTCCAAGGTTGCCCTGTGCTTCTCCACACTCTGGCCAGTATAGTCCAGGACTTCTTGCATAATTTTGAAGATTTGCTTGTGGGCACCAGGAAAGTACATCAGGAAGCCAGAGAAGAGTTCAAACACCTGTAAGAAAGAAGGACCCAGGAAGTCACCTGGAGCTATCTGGTCACAAGAAGAGGACAGTGCTCTAACTTAGTCACTGTTCTATTGCTAGGGAGAGACAACACGACCGAGGCACTTCTTACAAAAAAGAGGTGTTTTTGAGGGCTTGCCTACCATTTCAGAAGGCTAGTCCATTATCATCATGGCAGGAAGCATGCCAGCATGCAGACAGGCATGTGCCTGAGAGCTGACATCATGTTATACAGGCAGACAGGCATATGGGAGAAGAATATATATATATTCTTCTGAATTGTATATTATATATATAATATATACAATATATATACAATACAATATATTGAATATATATATATATATATATATATATATATATATATATATATATATGTGTGTGTGTGTGTGTGTGTGTGTGTGTGTGTGTGTGTGTGTGTGTATTCTTCTGAATTGATATCCCTGGGAGGCCTGGTCTTTTGGGGAGGGTTGGGGAGGGAGAATGGTTATTGAAGATAGATCTTCTAATGTCACCTTCTGGCTAAATAATAATTTTTACTCCCTCCAGGCCTATAAAATATTTCTTTAGTAATTTTTGGGGATTTGGTGCCACCTGCTGGAAGCTCTAAGAAGACACACTAATCAAGCTAAGTACTTTTATGTCACCTTGTTAAGGAAACAATGTAGTAGCTTCCAAAATAGGTAGATTCTGGCTTCTAAAAGTTTTTGAAAATTATCCAGGTACCTCAGGAATTATTGCAGAGAAGCTTTGTGCTCTTGTGTGACTTTCTGGCTGTCTCTATGTAAACCTGACCCACATGAGAACTCACCCTCACATAGTTTAACAGGACAACAACCAACATTTTTGCGTGCTTGAATAGATCATTCCTGAGTCCAAAATTCTATACAGCAGTATAAGCTCCATATCATCATCTAAAATTGGAGATGCAGGGTATCTATCTATATCTAAAGCAGAGCACAATAAAATCCTTCAAGGAGCTTGAAAGATGGCTCAGTGGTTTAGAGTACTTACTGCTCTTGTAGAGGACGTGAGTTCTGTTCCCAGCACCCACACAACTGCCTATGACTCAAGTTCCAGTGCACTGAACACTCTCTTCTAGCCTCTGCAGGCTGCTGCATGCACTTGGTGTACATGACTTATAAACAAATACAGATATGTAAATAAACTTTATTTTTTAATTTTTGAGCCAAGAAGACTGTTCCATACTGAAGGACTGGCTTCTCCACATTGTCTATTTTCACTGCTACTGAAAACTCGGATAAGAGTAGATAGCATATAATCACAGTGCTGTGTAGGATATGTAGATTATATTTTATTCCTGTTGTTAAAATCACAACTTAGTGTAGAAACTATATGATAATCAAAATTAGAGAGTGCATGTTTTTAAAAGTACAGTCTCTATAAACATGAGTGGAACTGTCTGTGACACATGAGTTTGAGTACATACACTTTTTTTTGTCACATCTCCCTCACAACTTGAGGTTTTAAGAATTATGAGTGTTGCCAAAAGGAGCTCTTTCCATCACTAAATCTTAATTAAAAGTTGTGCTTTTCTCAAATAAATTCAACACTGAAGTGGATAGGATTTGGGAGGAGTTAGGGAAAGGGAAAATATAGTCAAAATATGTGAAAATTTTAAGTAAGGCAATATATATTGGAAATACTTAGCAACAGCATCTTCAAATGAGTCCAAATCTGTCCCCCAAACTGACAAAACCAGGGACATCACAGCAAAGTGGGTCTGAAGCACTGCCAATCTCATGTCAAGGCGTACCCCACACTAGTCCCCAAATGCATCTGCCTAATAAACACACACTTCACATTTAACACTGAAGTCATACCACATGCAGAACGAAGAACTCCACACTGCAAGACTGTCCTGACTCATGGTTAATTCCACCTTTCCTTCATTTTAGCTTACAGAAACAAAAGCTAGGCACTGAAATTCAGAATAATTCTCCCTGCAAGGGGTTAATTGCCACTCTAATTAAGTCACCCACCTGTGGTCTGTCCTTAGCAGCACATCATCCCTGTGAGAAAGTGAAAATGTAGAAAAATCCAACAAAACTCTTACTTCCACCCCATCCTTTTGCATCGCCTTGATTATGTGTGTGCAATATGAACTCTAGAATTCTTCTAAATCATCTTCAATGTTATGCTGCAAGCTGCAGGAAAATGTAATGGAATTCAGCTACTATCACAAAAGCTACTACTTGGAAGGGTCAAGGACTTTTCCGGAGGCCAAGCCATGGCTTAAGAAGTCTTGGTGATATTTAACTCTTGTATATATACTAACCAATTCCTGCAGTAATTTCCTTGTATGCTATGTATGCTTCCAAGAACTCATAACAGTGTATTTTATCTGAAATACCTATCAAGCATCCAAGGCCAAATGATCTCCTGAATTAAGGCAAATTAAGCTCAGACCCTCCTTTCTTATACAGCCTTAGTGGTATTTATACTAACATTATAGAATCCTAACATTTTACCTAACCACTTGTAGGAATGTAGACTGAGCACATAAATTCTCTTTTTGATATATTAACTAATCTTAGCTCTTAGTTGAACTCATCCCTTTCCACTCCCTCTTTGGATTGTAAAAGAAAGCCTGATGGTCACTGCCTGAGAAAAATTCTTGTCTGCCTTTATGACTCTGTAAAAATTCAAGCCTGGTGACCTTGCTTTAGCTAGAGCACTGCTATTGCATGGGTGTATAACTGTAAGCCTCAGAGACTTAGAGAGGATTTTGAAGATTCTGACTGGAGAACTAGAGGGATGAAATGGAAGATGAGAAAGAGCCAGATGAGGAAGAGCCAGATGGGTAAAAACGAGATGAGAAAGACCAAGATGGGGTAGAACTAAGATGAGAGAATTAAGATAGAACTTAGAGGGGACAGCAGATAAATGTAGAGAGAAATCAGGCAAAAAGGAGCTAGGCTTGAGAACAGAACTGAAGCTGTGGTAGATAGAATCTTATCCCAGAGGAATAAAGTAGACAGACTAAGAGCTTGGTGTACTTAGATTCTTTTCCTGAAAATAATTTGCACCATTTGTAGCTTCTCTTCTGGGCCCCTGGGAAGATTATTAAGAAGATTTTCTTTTACTAAAATAGAAAAGGGGAATTACTGTAAGCTGCAAGAATACATAATAGAGATTCAGCTGTATATAATAAAGCTATACCAAGAATGATCAAGGAATCCTTCTAGAGGGAAGCCATATATTAGGAATATTTGGTGTTATTTGGCTTTTACTATTCAGCTGTTTCTTGCTATGAATTTCTTGTGTGCTCATATACTACTAGGCCACAACAGTAAACAGTATAAGCTTCTCAGACCTACTGCTGATCTGAACTAGACAACACCTGTCTCCTAAGCCTAGATGCATGACTTTGTTTCTTGTACAAATGAAGCTCAGAACTTCCTTTCCCAGACAGGCCAAATGGCATTCCAGAGCTATTGACTGAGGACAAAAGGTTTTATTGCATGACCAGGTGCAGTGAAGGCTGGGGCAGGATTCATGGTCTGGGCAGAGTTGCATGGCTGGAGAAGAAGGAACAAGGCAGAGCTTTTACATACATAGTAGGGATTGGATCATGTCAGGAGAGGAGGAAAGGAATAAGTGAGCTTGGACGAAGAAACTGAGGACAAAGAGGAGATTGATAGCAGAAGAGCATAATTAGGGCTATGAGAGGTCAGGAAGAGAAGGGACAGAGAGTATGAGGGCAGAAAAGAAGTTGTATAGAGAAAGAACTGTTCAGAAGAATACAGTATATGGACTAAGAATTTTATGTACTTAGATTCATTTAATATTGTCAAAGATTAGATCATCAGTTGGTCATAGATTTTTCCCAGACCCTGGGAGTGGGCTATCAAGGGGCTGGACAGTCTGTGATAATGTTACAGTGAAATTTGATTACAATTTTTTAACATAGAATGTAGCATAAAGCAAAACTAGGTTTCAATAGGATATCTAAAAATAATCTGTCATGATAAGGATGAGATTAGTGGGACATAATGACCACTGGAAGATTAGGAATTGGTTGAGTGAATAAACAGTCAACCAAAGGCAAACTGATCACGATCAAGGTAAAGGATGCTGTCTGTGCTGTGCTTCAGAGAAGGAAATCACCCATCTCTGTTCCCCACAGACTTCCACCACAAGTTTGGAGGATGATATGGCATGCTAACCAGTCACAATCTGATCTGGAGGGGAAGAATTGAAACATTTTCTAGGGTAGGGAGAGAGCTCAGTGGGTAAAGTGTCTTGCCATGCAAGCATGGAAACAAGATTTAAGATCCCCAGAACCCATATAAGAAGCTGGGTGTGACAGTGAATGCTGGAGAGGTGGGGACATCCAGATTCCAGAACCTGACTGGCCAGACAGTCTAGCTGAATCAGTAAGCTACATGTTCAGGGTGACTTTATCAAAAACTTAAAGGTACAGAATGAGAGTGGAAATATGCTGGAGATTACCTCTGTTCTCCACACTTCTGTGCATACATGAGCATATTCATATATGTACACACACACACTAAAAAGTACATACAGAAAAAACAGCACATACACACAAAGACACACACACACACTCTTGACAGGATAGAATGATAAGTTGAATCAAAACAGGTGTGATTTAATAAATGTCAGTTAAAACTTCGGTAACCTAGATTTCATAATTAACTCTAGGTACAGAAAACAAAAAATTGTGTCATTCAATCCTTACATGGCAAATTATACTGTAAATAAAAGATATTTAATATATTCAGCAATACTGCATGCCAATAGTTGATAGAAATAGAAACACAAAATACCTAGATACATAGACAACTTCTTATAAGTTTTGTGGAGTGAACTGAAGACTGTCAACCTCACATATAAGCCTAATGTAAATTGAGAATTCACTGGCAATTGTTCCAAAAAAATCAAGGAACTGTTTACATCACAGCCCAGGCAGTAGTGAAGTACTTGCCTGGCACATGGCACATGCTGGAGTATGCGCCCCAGCATGGTGGGGGAGATTTTATTAAATACTACAGTAAGGAAGCACTAACCCTTCACTTACATGAGTCCCTGTGCAACACACAGGACATACACTCACAAAGCCATTCCTCTGCTGGCATTACTTTACATGGGATCCATTCTTATAACTCTGTTAACCAGAGAAACTTCAACACAACACATGGCCTAAATGTAAAAGGCCCTCAGTAGGCTTATATAACTATAAAATGGACTGAAAAAAAGTAATAAATCTGTCAATATCCTATTCACAAATGGAAATATCATCATAGAAAGATAACTGATCTAATTATAAAAATGGGTCAGTGATGTTTTCAACCACAATACTTGGGCAAAATTATTTTTCTAAGCTCACTCATCCAAGAGAAATTCTCAGCAGTTACTAACATGTTACAAAGGCCATGCAGGACAGAGTCCAATGACTATTGCAGAAAATGAATATTTTGAGCAATAACAGTGTCCACTGAGGGCTGAAGCAGCTGGTATGAGTCACTGGATACAAAGAAAAGGAAACAAGGAGTGCAGACCAATGTCATTACCATTTCCTCAAGAGACAGGATAAGGGACCAGGAATGTAACAGCTCATTGGAAGAGTGCTTGCCGAGCCTGCATGAAGCTCCTGGATCAACCTCCATACCACATAAGACCAGATGTGGCTCTCACCTGAAATGCAACTGGGAGGAAGAGGTGGGAAGATCAGTGCAGTGTCTTCCTCAGCTACCTCATGAGTTGTTCCAGGCTACCATCAGAGAAAGAAAGAAAGAAGGAAAGAGAGAGAGAGAGAGAGAGAGAGAGAGAGAGAGAGAGAGAGAGAGAGAGAG